CTTATTTTTATTTTTTAATTTCATTTTTGTTTTATTTTATTATTTGATTTGATTTTGTTTTGTTTTAATTTAATGTAATTTAATTAAATATAATTTATTTTATTTTATCTCATTTCATTTTACTCTATTTATTTATTTTTTATTTTCATTATATTTCTCTTACCAGTTTTAACTCAGATGTACTTTACCGGTTTATCCGATCCGGCGATTTATTTTATTCAGTTTTGTTTCTTTTATATTAATTCTTACGTGTTAACTTCTTTTAATGATCTACTTTAGTTTCATTGCTTTGTTTAAATGTAAGAATGTTTATCAGGTCTTTTTATTCTTCATCTTAATTATTATTCATGAGGTTTTATTCTTAGTTGTAATGATCTGGTCGGTTGCTGCTTTGTGCCGCACATTTTAAACCCAAAGGTCAAAGGTCAGCTTGACTGTGACATCATCATGTTTTAGCATCACATCTCAGGAACAGAAGGGGAGACATTTGCTCAGATACTGAATTGGTGACTCTAATCTTGAAACTGTGCTGATTGGACAGATCTTGTGTGTGTGTGAGGCGTCCTCCATGTTTTCACTGACACGTGACCAGAGCGTGGCGGCGAACAACTGCGGGCGGTACCTATAACATTTCGCCCTCTCTGTTGTGACGTTTTCATCGCAGGTGTCTGCAGCCTGCTTTGTGTGCAGAGTGTTTGATGAGCCGCTGCAGTGAAGCAAACTGTGATTTGAAAGATAAACAGTTCTTATCAACACTTCCTGTTTCTCTCCTCCATCTGTCTCTGCAGGCCATTCTCAACGTCTCCCGCATCGACGCCGCCAACCAGAAAGCCAACAACCTCATGAAGCGATAGAGGGAGCGCTCCTTCGTTTCTTTCCTCCTTATTTATCCTACTAGTGATCACTGTGCTTCTGCATGCTGTGCCAAAGTGTTGCTGCTCTTACTCTCTGCTTCACACACCTCACTTACAGTGAGTGTTTCCTTCCTGTGATGTAATCGCTGTGATGTAATCGCTGTGATGTAATCGCTGTGATGTAATCGCTGTGCTGTTCCTTCAGGGACCAGAAGTCCTCGACTGTCAGTAGAGAGGTGTTCATTATGTGTGTGTTCCTATTTATTCTCACAGTACTCAGACAGCTGATGTGTCATCTTGCTGCTCATTACTCAGCAGGGCTTTTGTCACTCTGTGTGTCACACTCGGGTGTTTCCCCTCGCCGTGGCCTCTGCCATCGTGGTCATGCAGCACGGTTAGATCATAGGGCGCTTTAATGAGCCCTGTGGGGAGAGTGGGCCGCTGCAGCAGCCCCGTCACCACCAGCAGCAGCAGCAGAGAGCACAATCAACACAAATCAAGAAATGATTTCACCACAGCTCAACATGTGGAGGACAACACTGCGAAAAGAAGCGGCGCCATGGTGCCAGGCCGGGCCGGGGCGTCTCCAGCCAATGAGAGGCCTCTTTGCTTCCAAAACATGACTGACTCTGTGTTTGTGGAATAAATGTCCAGATTTATTAAAGAAACAAAACTATCAACAACCAGTTTTTGTTTCCTCATGTAAACACCATCACCCCCCCCCCCCCCCCCCCCCCCCCCCCCCCCCCCCCCCCCCCCCCCCCCCCCCCCCCCCCCCCCCCCCCCCCCCCCCCCCCCCCCCATCTGTGTGAAATGTCCCAAAGAGGCTGAAACACGAGCATGATGGCGCCCTCTGCAGGCACAGCCGGGTATTGCACAGAGGAAGGAAACACGTATTTCCCCTCAGAGGCGGATCTCTGGCGACACCAAGCGGACAAAGATGGAACCTGCTCCTCTCGGCCTCTCCATCTTCTCCTCTTCTCCATGTTGAGTTAAAATGGTGGTGACATGACGACGTGTTGGTTTCAATCTCACATCCCGTCATCTGATGTCGTCACAGCCAAACTCACGTGGAACATTTATTAAATATGAACAGCTGTTTTCCTTCATAACCAATAACACATGAGCTGCTTGTGTTTACGTCACGATCGGTCCAGTGTGGAGCCACACTGAGCTGTGATGTGATTAATAAGATGTTGGTGCATGACCTCTGTTGACCTGAGCAGCCCTCGTGCGTGTTTACGCAGCAGGTTTAAACCACAGAGACACAGTGGCGCGTGCGGAGCGCCTCCGTGTTGTGAGGAAGTGCTGAAATATGACGTGATCAATGAAAATGTGCTAAAAACAAACATGGCCGTTAAGAAATTAATTAGGCCAGGGCTGGGGGAGGTGTGTGTGTGTGTGTGAGTGTGTGTGTGTGTGTGTGTGTGTTGGGGGGGGGGGGGGGGGGGGGGGGGGGGGGGGGGGGGGGGGGGGGGTCACTATCTTGGAGAGGGTTAATCACCGTGTTTCTGGTCAAACACTTAAACTGTGAGTTGTTTGCGCATCACTGTGACTTAGTGTTTGGTTTCTTGGACAGTGGCAGTGATTGGTGCGTGTTGCATGTGGGGCAGCTGGGGGCGCGCAGCGGGCTGAGAAAATGTTGCGCGTTCAAGGGAGGAAAAAAAAAAAAATCGGAGTCTGCGCAGTGTGGTTTTTCTCGACACTCCGAACTTTCGGGAGAACCACGGAGGAAGGAGGGGAGAGGGACAGGACAACGCCATTTTTCCTGGTAATTATTTTCTACGTATTCAGCTTTTTTTCAAAATACCGCACACCGCGATTAATTCCCAAAAACGTGCCGCACGCGTGATTCAGCGCAGAGAAGCGTCTGGTAGCTACGATGCGGAAAAGAACGCAATCAGCGTCGGAGCGAGGAGACATTTCGTCCTCTGCCTCGATCACGGAGAGTCGCGCAGCTTCAGCTCGGCGCAGCGAGCCTGCGCACAAACACAACGCTGCGCTTTGTACACGCGCGTTTTTACATCCACGGTAACCCCGCGTGTCCGCACCGACACTCGCCGTTAATCCGGTGCCGCTGGCTGAACCGAGCGGCCGAACGGAGCCGACAGAGATGGCGGAATCAGTGGGCTGCTCCTCCTGCGAGCCGCCAGGCACGAGCACGGGGGGAGAGGCAGGCACGAGCTCAACAAAGACACGGCAACACCGCAGCTGATTGGCTCAGAGGGGCCACGTGGTCAGAGCGAACGAAATGTTCATTCTGAATGATTTCATATTAAGAAGTTCGGATCACAGGTGCGTCAGGAGCCAAACACACCTTTGGTCCCTGCGGCGCGCGGAGAGTCCGCGTGGGGTCAGAGAGAACAAACTAATACTGATGGTTCTATTAAAAACAGATTGATCTGCGCGTCATGACGCACTGACACTGCGAGGAAACTTGTTGTTGTCAGGGACGGAAATGATTAAACTGAAGTTTGGAACCCAAACAGTCTGATCATATCTAAAGTCACGTGGCTTCTTATGTTTGTGTCAATAAGTCACATTTGTTTATCTGAACAGGTAAACATGTCTAATGCGCGTCAGAATTACACATACACACACACATTTAACTTATCAAAATAGACATGGAGCCATGTTGCTGTAGATATAATCTCATCATGTTGCTCACATTTACCTAATAATAAAGATGTGGAGCTTCAGGCCACAGTGACGCGCAGCCGTGTTCAGGATGGACTCGCCGGGTCACAGACTGACAGCAGGAGACAGTGCTGACACAGTTAGAGGAGGAGCGATAATTAAGAGATACACAAGTGACTGTGGAGCTGGTGAAGTGTCTCCAGTGCGTAATTACGGTTCATCAGTGCGCAACATCTCCAGTGATGGAGGAAGCATCCAGATCGTTTGCTGAGGCAGGAGTGCTGACACCACACAGGGAGAGGCAGCTTTATTTGTGCAGCACATTTCATACAGCAGAGCAATGAAACATAAGCAAGGAAACAGATTTACATTAAAAAACAATAAAGAAAAAAAAATATGAAAAGTTAAATTAATTCTAAATAATTTACAATTAAAAAGAATCACCATCAGAAATAGCGAAGTGCAGCCAAGACGTGCAAAGATTAAAAAATAAATAAATAGATAAAATATTTAAAACGCAGTTAAATAAAGTTGCAGTGCAGAGTAAGAAGTGAATAAATATTTGATTCAATAAAAAGCAGCAGCAAAGTATTTAAACCTCTGAACGCTGAAAACTAACTGGTGAGAGTGCTTCAAACACACTGGGGAGAAGGCAACGAGCAACTCAGTGAGAAATGTCCCAGAATTTCTCGTTGCCTTTCTGGGTTTTGCAGTTTCTGGGCCAGAAACTGCAAAAAAATGAAGAGATTTAGAAAATTATTTTAAAGAGAAAAGCTCTGGAAAAATTGTATTTATCATTATTACATATTTAAAATTGTGGTGCAGAATTATTATATTTTTAAGCACATGTCCAGGTCACTTCCTTGTTTGTTTTTTAAAATTAATTTCTGTCTTTCTTTGTTCACTTTTCTTGTTTTTGATTTTTTTTCTTTTTACTAATTTCCTCCCAATATCTTCTGCTGCCTTCTTCCCGTGTTTTTGACAGAAATGATTCCAGTGTGCCGTCAGGTTTTAAAGAGTTAAAAGAAGTGAGTTGGTGCAGAGCTGCAGTTTTCAGGTAGTTTATTTCAGATATGTGGAGAATAAAAACCTCCATGTTTCGTCTCGACTCTGAGCACCTGCGAGCTCGGATGGTCCAGACGGTGGCAGGAGGAAGTCCTGCACTGTAAATGTTAAAGATCAGGAACATGTACTCACAATATTAAAAGTTAAATAAACAAAACTCAAAATGAGTCAAAATAAATTAGAAAACATTCACAGTTTATCAGAAACAGTCTGCAGTGAATTTTCTGTCAGTCGGCTCGTTGATTCATCGACTTGTTTCAGCTGTATGAACTGTTGGGATGTTTAATTTATAACATAACATCATATTATATACATTTATCTTTTGCCTTTTATGTCAAAATGTTCATGTGTAAAGTAACTAAAACTCTGATATAAATGCAGTAAAATAAAAGTAGATTATTGAACCAAGAGCTAAACTTCCTGTTTTTACCTTCGACTGCTGAGACGCTGCTCTGACACATCTTCGTCTCTCTCAGTCTGGTCGAACCATCGAACTGTGTTTTGTTCTCCACGTACAGAACAAACCCTTCACACACTAACGTCTGTTTGTAAAGACGACTTTCTACAACCTAAGAAACATTCAAACATCAGAAGGAGTCGTCTGAGCGTGTGGACGGCTGTGTGTGTTAGTGGATGTTTGCAGAGTGAAATATAAGAACAAGCATTTTTAATTTACTTCAACAAGTGGATTATTGTCAGGTTTTGGTCCTTTGGAAAACAAAATGGACGCTCGCCCACAGAAAAAGAACCATGACTCATCCTGGGGTGGAGGCCTCATCCTCCACCAGGGCTTTCTTCAGTTTAAAGTGCAGCCACAGGGAGGCACTGTGGAGACGCAGCTGAAGGAGAACAACATGTTCTCGGGCTAAAAACACAACTCCAGTCCAACTCTTCACCTGAACACCAGCTCACGTCTGTTTCTCAGCTGTGGTCACATCTCCCTGTCGGTCGGTCGGTCTGTGGCGGCGTCCTCCTGCAGCCGCGGCGTAGTGTCTCCGCTGGAGGACACACACACACGTCCACACGCCCAGCAGCTCCTGGTCAGAGGGGTGTTAACGCAGAGTGACATTTGGAGCTCACGGCTTGTCCTCTGACTTCCAGTCATGTGACACGCCACACCTGGCGCCTGTCCATATAAGAAAGTTTATTCACAATAGAAATCAGTTCTTTGTAAAAGTCTGCCGGCTGAGGAGCAGCTGTGGTGTCACAGTCAGACACTGAGGCTCTCAGGACGTTGGTGTCCACAGTGTGGAGCTGCTGCCACAGTGACTCAGCACATCTGCAGCCCATTTGTAGCTTCAGTCCTCAGCTGTGTGTCCTGTCTCCCTCTGGGCCGAGATCCAGGAGCCTAACGTCGCTCACTAATGGACTCAACAGCAATTTGTACCTGTGGCTGATGAGCCAGTACATGTGACATCATCTCCTCTCAGGTGCAACTCTGACACTTCAGCTTGATGTATGCACGATTCATTTCTGATTTTATGAATGATGATGATGCCTGAGTTTTACTTGCTGGTTTTATTGGCACCTGATCACAGGGCTGTTGTAGCTGTTCTGTTATTTGCCGTCACCCCCTCTGACGATATACCCCAGGCTGTTCTCATGCACTCTTTGTATGATGCAAATGTGCACAGTGCTGTGAACAGTATCTGCCCCCTGAACCTGATAACTTGGCGGCAACAGCTGCAATCAAGTGTTTGTGATAACTGGCAATGAGTCACTTACATCGCTGTGGAGGAGTGTCGACTCACTCTTCTTTACAGATCGTTCTAATTCAGCCACATTGGAGGGTTTCAAACATGAACGGCCTGTTTCAGGTCATGCCACAGCTTCTCAGTCAGACTGAAGTCCAGACTTTGACGAGGCCACTCCAAAACCTCCATTTAAATGCTGGCCATGAAATGCTGTGTTAGTTTAAGGCCAGATGTAACGAGACACACGCCTTCCAAAAAGTTTAACTTTTTTCGCCCTGGAACTCTCCCACGGAGATGTTGTTCTGGGTTCTTTTGTGACCTCCTGGATGAGTCGTCGATGCGCTCATGGAGTAAATTTGGTCAGCGGGCTCCTCCTCTGAAGGTTCACCACTGTTCCAGGTTTTCTTCATATGTGGATAAAGACTTTGTTTCTCATCTGTTGTTGAATTTCGTTAGATCGCAGCATGATGTGATGCTTAGCAGGACACTGATCATGTGCTGTGTGAGACCAAGAGAACTTTGAGCTATTTAAAGATACGTCATCACCATGTTTCTTTTCCTAAATCTAACCTGCATAACTTTACATGAAGTACGAGACGTGACAGCGTCAAACCGTGACTCTTTCTCTAACCCTGACCTCATGGATGTTGTTAGACACTGTGAGGATATGTTGTATATCCACATTACTGATGATTATTTATCAAAGTCATAAAGCACCAGTAGTGAACCCTACAGTATCGTCACATTGATATTGAGGTTTTTGGGGAAGATACAGTGTGTCTGAATCCAAGTCTGGAGATGAATGTGTGATTTTTGTGACACCGTTAAATCAGCTGCACCCGGTACAGTCACAGTGCCGTTAAACACCTGCTTTGACGCTCAGTTGTGACTTTGGGTTTTGGAAACTTGGCTCTGTAACGTGCATTTTTTTTTTTATCCTGGTAAGAATAAACGTCTGTGTCACCATTTTGTACTCTGATTCTGTTTCACGCTGCCACCTGCTGGACAGGATGACTCACAGTTTGTTTTTTATCTTGAATATTTAAAATTTCTGTGCTCAGTTGGAGCTGTGGGTCCGGTCCAAATCCATAATAAAGTAAACAATATATTTACATGTTTATTTGACAGACACTCCTCCAACACGCTAAGACTTTTTATCTGTAATCATTAACTCTTAATGTGCGTCCATTTTCCAGGTCATCTGTCCCTCAGAGGAAAATTAGTTTTCAATAAATCCTGACAGCAGGTGACCTTTGTGTCTGTGTTTAATAAATGTGGTGACAGACAGTATTTAGTAGTTAAAGTGTTCTTATTTTAATGTTGTGTTTTCTCCGTCTCTCTGTCCCCCTCATGTGTCCCTCTGTCTCTTCCTTAGAGACCCTCGACAGGTGTCTTCGGCCCAGACTGGCAGGTGGATCAGGACCAGAGAGTCCTGGAGGACGGTGACATTCAGACTCAGGTGGACTGAGTTGTAGCGGGCCGTCAGAAGAGGAGGAGGAGGAGGGGAATGGAACGAGCTGAAGGCGCAGCTATGTCGTGGCGTCCGGACGAAGAAGAGTTTAAGGTGGAAGGAGTGACGGGAGGGTTGAGAGTCAAACCGAGGTTCACCTTCAGCGAGCTCAAACTGTTGCTGGAGGCCGTGAAGAGGAACAGATACATCCTCCTCAGTGAGTGTGATGCAGGACAAACTCTGCTCCAGCTTCATCTTTACAAGGTGCTGGAAACTGAGACATTACATCTGTGCAGTGTTTGACTGTGGGTCTGTTCGACCTTCATCAGACTGAAGATGAGTCAGTAATGGGCGGATCAGATCAGACTGTGATTGGCTCCTCCTACCTGCCTGCCCACTGCTGACTCATGTTCGCTCTGATGAAGGTCTGACAGACCCAGAGCTCAACAATAAAGTCATACTCTGCACAGATGTGAGTGTGTGGAAATCTTTTCTCCCAGTTTGGACCATAAAACATGTAGAATCATAAAATAGTCAAAGTATAGCGTGCTAAGAAAATGTCATTAGAAAAATAAAATTAAAACATTTTAAATCATAAAATAGTATACAATAAAAAATCATGAAAATTCATTAAAACGTCACACTATAGGATAACACAATGAAACTAGTCCATAGCCATTGGTAGCTTTGTCACCTTCTACCTATGCCAGTCCTCAATGCCTATGTGCAGTTTCACATAGATTGACCACGTCAGTGAGTAGAAAAACGTGGGACAGACAGAATGACTGACTGACAGAATGACACACTGACAGTTTCAGTGATTATGTACAGCATACCATACCATGACTTAGTCATACCAAAAATTAGAAACAACACCAACATTGGTCCACAGGGGGAGCCACAGCGATCGGTCGCATTTTAGCCATTTTGAAGCATTTTTCTGTTGTTATAGCGCCACCCAGTTGCCAATTAGAGTTAAATTTCTCCAGTCACCTTGAGGCGTCCTGTTCTACATATCTACCAAGTTTAGTAAAAATCCATATGGCGGTTAGGCCTAGATAAGAAATGAGCTCTCTAGCGCCCCCATTTTGTTTGATGGGGTCAATAATGGAGGGGTCCCCTCAGATTATGTGTGGTCATATGCCTACAAAGTTGCGTGGTGATGGGTGAAACCCTTGAGATGTTATACACCTTTATGTGATGAGCCACGCCCTCCGCAATATTCATTGCCTTATAGAAGCTCAGTTTTAGTAAGTTTTCCAACTTTTGCCAAGAGGGAACTTTAGATATTGGTCCCTAGATTATGTTCACCCAGTTTCATGCAGATCGCTCAAACTTCCTAGGAAGAGATCCATTTGAAGTGTTTTTCAAAACATTCAAAATGGCGAAAATCTATATAAGCGGAAGTTATGGGTTCTTGAGGCAAATGTGTTCCTCATGAGGAGAGGCATCTCTGTGCAAAGTTTCATGTCTCTACAACATACGGGGCATGAGATATGCCCATTCAAAGTTTGACATTTCAATGGGTTGCTATAGCGCCCCCCTTTGGCCAATTGATGTAATATTGCTTCATTGGCATCCTCCCATGACCCTCTACCACTGTGCCAAATTTCACATGGATTGACCAAGTCAGTGAGGAGAAAAACCTGGAACACACACACACAGAGTTTTCATCATTATATAGTAAGACAAAATAAATCAATAAACAGTCACAGTTTAACATGCCAGAAAAACTGCCATTAAAAAAATCCTAAAAAGAAGCGCCATGAAAGAAATCATTAAATACTCGTAATAATTATTAAAAAAGTGAGAGTATGACTGAGAGCAAACACATGTCCATAAAAACATCAGAGAACAGGTGTAGTGTATCAGGCCATGAACGCTGCCATTAGGAAACATTTTTAAAAAGAATCATAAAATAGTCGTCATTGAAATTCATTAAAGAAGTCATCGTGTATCACGCTGTAAAAAAGTGCAGTTAAAAATGTTTTTAAAATCATGAAATATTCACAGTATAGCGTGCCCCAAAAAATCATATCAGAGCATTGAAAAAGTCAAAGTATATCATGCTATAAAAATGTTACGAAACAGGTCATGTAACAGGATATAGTATCAAAGTGCGACACACAGGCCAGTGACGCTCAGAAACGTCCTGTCTTTCAGCCAGCGCCGACCGGTCTGTTGTTAAAGTGACGTTAAACTGATCTGGAGTCTGAAAGTGAGACGAGGTAAAGTGATGAACACATGTTGGCAGATAATGACTGAGAACACGCTGCATGTGAGATGTTTCACCAGCAGAGGGAGACAGTGAGCCAGAGAGCGGGGGAGTGACGATACTACTGCTGTCCAACTGGACCAGGACTGATGTCTCACCTCATGTCTCTGTGTCTGTGTCTGTGTCTGTGTCTCTGTCTCTGTAGGGAAGTTTAACCAGGGTGTGTCAGCTGATGCCAAGAAACGGACCTGGACTGAAATCACCAACCAGGTGAACGGACTGGGACAGACGCACAGAGAGGTCTGTGACTCATCACTGTTCACTTTGAGTCATGTTGGTCATATTAATATTTGAGGTGTGCCCTCAGACATGATCGTAGTTACACCTGGAAAATCTGCCTTTAATGACCCTCATTAATGAAACAGACGTACGACACAATACTGGGCGTACGGTCGTTTCCACGCAGAGCTCGGCATGTATCTGAGCCGAGGCTCTGATCAAATCTCACGTCAGGTCTCAGCTTGTGTCACAGCTTTGGGTCAGCATTGACTTGCAGTTCATCTGGAGAGAACTGTTGTTAGTTTGTATTCTGACTGACATCTAATTTTGCAGTCACAGTCATCAGTCAGTCCAGGCGGCCTGAGATAATCAAAATAGCTGGCGGAGATTTTCTGTCCAGACTAATCCACTCATGGTTTGATGATGTCGAGGTCACAGCAGCAGCGTCTCCTCCATGAGAACAATGAATGTCATCATAGCAGCAGTGTTTTAATCTGAGGTTTTAATCTCCTCACAGGTGCGTCAGATCATGAAGAAATGGGCGGACCTCAAATGTGACGCAAAGCGACGCATGGGGGCCCTCCAGGGCCTCAACGGCGGCAACCTGAGGAACAAGAACCTGGGCCCTGTGGAGAAGATGGTCCACAAGATACTGATGATGAGTCCCAGAGGAGGTGAGGAGCAGTCTGTGGAGTCTGGTTTTATCAGTCGTTCCTGTGAGAGCGGCGGTACATCGGAGCACGAGGCACGAGACGAATACAGACCTGAATGATTGTGTCGACTCTTAAGATGACAAACACGACTGTTCATTGGTGTTTTGTATGAAGCTCAGGTCAGATCAAAGATTCACGACGAGATGAAACAGTTTCAGAACGTTGTAGAGAAAAGTGTCAGCGGTGTGAACTGGACTCAAGCCGGCTGATGGTGTCACCTGACACTCAGCTGGACAAATAGGCGGCAGCTGGTTTTAAAGTACGTCACCTGTTTCAACAGCCAATCAGCTTGTAGTAAAGTCCGCTGGTCAAGTCACAATGACCGCAGACGGCGTGTTGGCTTGCTGCAGCAAGTGCTCCGTCCCCACAGAGCCCTCCGTTTAAGTTGTTGACTAGAGATGATGCGCCGTCTCATGGCGGTCACTTCCTGTCGACGTTACAGATCAGAAGCACAGAGAGTCGTTGACTAGAGATGATACGCCGTCTCATGGCGGTCACTTCCTGTCGACGTTACAGATCAGAAGTACAGAGAGTTGTTGACTAGAGATGATACGCCGTCTCATGGCGGTCACTTCCTGTCAACGTTACAGATCAGAGAGTTGTTGACTAGTCCTTTTAAGATGAATAAAAATGTTTTTTCGTAATTAACCCGTTCTTGTTTGTGGGTTCTCAGACTGCGACAGCGACCTGGACCTCGCCGAAGATGAAGATTTTTCGAAGCTTTACAGTAAAGGCCCCTCCCCCACCCCGCCCCCCTACTCCTACCTCAGCCTGACGGACAGCTCCCACTCGATGCCTGGAGGAGCCTCCTATGAGTTCTCTCCTCTCTCCTCACCAGAGAAAGAGCTCGGGGGTAAGTAGAGCAGGAAATGTGACGAGGACAGGAAGTTCACTCGTGTTCATTGTCGTGTCATCGTATATCCATCCATACGTAAAAAAAATGGACGCATGAACAGAAGTAAAAAATGACGTGCACCAAAAAATATTCTACGGTTTCCATAGTCAGGCTACAACCTCACCATCTGTGGTGCCAATATCCCGCCGCAAAATGTTTGTAAGCTCGGGTCACAGTTTCTCCCATCATTTTTATAGATAACAACTTTGGCGTGGGAAGTGGCGTTCGCCTCTGTCAAGCCTCGTTTTGTGAGAATGCAGTGTTTATAGAGGGACCCCTGGACTCTTGCTGCTACTTGACTTAACGTCAGTAGTTTTGCTTTTAGCTAGCTAACGGTAACGTTAGCTACAGAGTACCTGTGTTTGTACAGTGTCATCTCTCTGGTAACCAAAGTATTTCCAAACAACAGCAGTGCTGTTTCTTCTCCGCCCACACTTTCCTCACTCGTCTCTGTCCGTTCAGCCATCACGACGCTCACTAAGTTCTGTCTCCATGTGCTTTGCGACCTCAACCACTCGCATCTACATGGGGGGCGACATCTAGGGCAGTAGGACTGTGGGGACACACATATATTGACATGTAGAGTGCATGGAAACACACCATTCATCGCAGTTAAGTCTTTTGCAGTATGTATATCGTCCATATTGATATCAAAATGACAGTAAATTTGCGATATGTTGTCCTAGCTAGATTTGACATTTTACATTTTTAGGGATGCTTTGTATAATCTTTATGTAGAAATACACTCCTTATACTGTTTCCAGACGTGTCACATTGCACATTTCAAACCAACAGTTTGGATTCTGAAATGATTTATTTGAGCTTTTGCGCGCAGTCGTGTTTTCTGTCGTTTGTCTCTGACTGTAGCCGCTGTATGAAGGATCAATAGAGAATCTGTCTACAACGTAAAAACCCCAAATATTAAAAGACTACTAATAAAGTCAAGTGTGTCCTCATAGAGACACTCCTCTGACTTTGTGTCCTCACAGTTCCCAGATCTAATCAAACTTTGATGATTGTCTTTGAGTCAGTGGGTGATTTGTCCCAGAGGATCCATTCAGGGAAGCTGTGGGACGCTGAGAGAGGAAGAGATAAAACACACAGTCTTAAACCACAGAACGTTGTGTGTTCAGCGACGGCAGTTTGAGTTTTTATATCTTTTGTTTCTTGTCTTCTTCATGTCCTTTTTAAGTTTTATTCACAAACCCTCTAACTGCTGCCGGCGATGTTGTTTTGCAGGCGACCCTTTTCACTCGTCTCCTGAGTGCGACCTGACTGAGGACGGAGGTAAGACTTTGAGCCGAGCAGCTTCAGGGTTTTCCCTACATAGAAAATATTTTGGTGGCCGCCAAAGCCGTTTTAGCCAATGGAAAATCCCCTCCGCCAAAGAGGGGTGTGTGAGCGGGGAAGGGAGGGAAAGAAAGAAATCAAATCTCAGTGCAACCGCTCATAGTTCAAAAAAATTATTCATTGGATTAAAATGTCTTATATCGTGATACGTATCATTATCGGGATATGAGATTTTGGTCACATTGCCCAGCCCTAATGTACTGTATTATTTGGACCTCTCTCGTCTAATAGAGAAGATATGGCATCGCTTAATACATTTGCATGATCTGTGAATGCAAATGCGAAGCGCGAGCTGCAGACATCACCACCAAAGCCCCTTCTGAGCCAGAGATAACCCTGCTATGTTATGACGTTATTGCATTTCTGACATACTGTACGATGTTTTGATTTTATCTTGTTTTTTACAGCATACTTAACTTTGACTTTTTAATAGGTCTTTGCGTTTTTATGATGAACTATATTACAGGATGAGGCAGGATGTGTTGTGTGCGTCCCTAAAGAACTGTAAAACACATTTTCTGAGACGTCCTGTAAAATCTGTCACAAACAAAACGTACATGTTAAAAACAAAGGTGTTGTGATCGGGTCGTGAGTCTGACACGTTTCGTCTCTCTGATCTTCCAGAACGAACGATGGACTTTGAAGACAACGACGACTCCATGTTCTCCACCTACCCTTCCTCTCTCCCCCCAACCTCCTCCCCCTCACTGGACCCCCTGCCTGACAACGCCCTGCTGAGGATGAAGCCGGTCCACACCTACTCCCGAAACAACAGCCAGAACAACACCTCCTCCCGCCCTCCGCCTGGACCCTCCTCCTCTGTGGCCTCCACCTCCTCTGCTTTCCCCTTAGTGTCTGATTCAGACGCTGCCTCGTCCTCAGCTGCACCTCCCTCGGAGCAGTCCCACACAACCGCCCCCCCTCCACCTCCTTCTACATCTGCTGCAGCCAATACCTCACACCCTGCACCTTCCTCCTCCTCCCTCCCACCTCCTGCTCCTCCTGCTGCTGTATCTTCCTCCTCTGCTGCTTCTACTGCGACCTCCTCCTCAAACTCCCACAAAGCCCCTCCCTTCTCCTCAGCACTTCCACCCAGGCGTGCCTCCTCCTCAGGCTCAAACCCGCCTGACCCTCTCCCAGGTGGAGCTTCGTCCCACAGGGACCAGGTGGCCCAGATGGCGTCTCAGAGCCTCCAGCAGCAGCGTGCCAGCAGGATGCTCCTGACCTCGGTGTCTCAGTCTCTGGAGATGTTGGCGCAGTCGGTGCAGCTGCTGGTGGAGACGCAGCAGGAGTTTGTGCAGGAGTCTCTGCTGCTGCAGAGGGAGACGGTGGACGTCCTGAGGGATTTCTCCAACACGGCGCTGACTATGCTGAGAGACAAAGCCAACAGTGGACAACTGTCCTCACACCATCGCCCTGCTGCACACTTCTGAAACACGGAGATGAACAAATTTCTAAAACAGACATGGCGGGCGACCACGAGCCAGGTGCAGCTGTGGCGTCCGTGTGGAGACGTTGGGATTGAAACAGCCATCCTGTGAGAGAGACAGTTCATGTTTGACTTTAACAGCCTCTATGGCTGCTGGACAGAAACGTCTGTCCACACACACACACACACACACACATGCAGTTTTAGGCTACAGGCTGTTTATTTATGTGCCTGGGACTTTTTTTTTCTTCTATATTTTTGTTTGTTGCAGGCTCGTGTGTGTTTTCACACTGTATTTAGATTTCAAAGGTTTCGAGCTGCTGAAACGTCGTCGCTCCGTAACACAGATCGACTGACTGGATTTCCACGTCCTGAGCGCACTGGGTGGTTTAACTGGCTCGCTGAATGAGATGAAACTAACAAATTAACTAAAGCACCAACCTCACGTTTGAGCTCCGGGAACGTCCCTCTTGTCACCGTCTTCACGTTGGACAGTTGGACTCTGGACTGGAGGAACACGTGATTTGGTGGGAGGAGCTGTTGAGACAGAGCGGAGAGGACATGTAGTCCTCGTCACACCCATGTCCTCCTCACTCAGGATGTGGCCATGCTACAACTTTGACAAATAATAATTTTGAAAATTAGGGATGCACCGATTTATCTGCTGAGCGTCAGTATCGGTGGATATTCGCCTCGTCGACTGTCGTCGGCCTCTGGCAAACCACGTGACATTTACCGATGGCAGCGGCCGATGTTTTTCTGTTGTGTCACATCAATTGTGCGCAGCGTTCTGCAGACGACAGAAAACGTACAAACGGAAATCTTCCCGGGACACTTTGAGACGAAAGGATGCAGTAAACTCATTATCGATGCGTCAGGAAACGCACCCTACTGTCTGCCTGATAACACTACGTCGTGAACAACCTGTTAAAATCAGCAGGAGCAGAGCTAGTTAGTGTTAGCTCGAGCAGCCAAGGCTGCAACTAACAGCTGCATTTAGTTACGTCACGATGTGTTCGAGTTCTGTTCGGTAAAAACAAGCATTGGGAGGAGGTCATTTTAACGTTATTATGATGTTTTCAAAATGTAATCAAGAAACTTGAATAAATTTGAGCTGTTTGAAGAAGAAATGTGTCGATGTTTTTACAGCAAAATGAAACAGATATTAGAGAGGGAATTCTGATTCCTATTAAACGTTTCTCAGTTATTAAAGGTCGTTTCATAAATGAGTGTAATGATGGACTGACTTTAAACAGTTCAGTTTTTTTACCACAGATTTCTTTGTTTGGCACAAAAAGGGAAAAAATAACAGCAAAAACAAAAAAAAACAAATATCGGCCCAGAATTTTATAATCGGTGCATCCCTATAAAAATTTAACACAACTGACATGTTTTGTTGAATTTACTGCTGGTGATAAAAAACATCTGTCATTTCCCAACGGTTAATTTTCGTCTTTCTTTTTTTAAATGAAGGACAAACAGTTCTCTCCTGCCTCTGTTTTTGACGTGTCCATGCCTTTCTCGTGAACGCAATATCTCAACAACACCTTGAAAGAATTTCCTCAAATTTGGCACAAATGTCCACTTGGACTCAACGATGAACTGATTTAGATATTGATGGTCAAAGGTCAATGACACTAAGACCTTGCATCCATCTCATTCTAATATCTCAAGAAGGCCGTTGGGGAATTTCCTCAAGTTTGGCACAGATGTTCATGTGGACTAAAGGATGAACTGAAATGAATGGATCTGAATGAAATAACTAGATTTTGGCGGGACTAGGTCACTGTGACCTCATTGGTTTCATTCTTGTGAACACGATATCTCAAGAATACCTTTAAGGAATTTCTCCAGATTTGGCACAAACGTTCAATTGGACTGAAGAATTAACTGATTATAACTTGGTGGTCAAAGGTCACTGTGACCTCACAAAACATGGTTTTGGCCCTAACTCAAGAATCCATACGTTAATTATGACAAAACTTCATACAAATGTCGAACAGGATAAAACAATGAAGTGATGACAGTTTATATCCAAAGGTCAAAGGTCAGCTTCACTGTGACATCATCATGTTCCACAGTCCACATCAGAGTGTATCTCAAGAAGGCCTTGAGGGACGTTCTTGGAATTTGGAAAAAAAACGTCCATTTGGACTCAAGAATGGTCAAAGGTCAAGATTTATGTGACTATCTTGCTCTCGTGAACGTGATATCTTAAGAAGGCCTTGAAGAAATTTTGTCTAACAGGTTAAAATAATGAAGGTCAGAAGGTCAAAGGTCAGCTTGACTGTGACATCATGTTTTAACGTCATATCTCAGGAACAGAAGGGGAGACATTTGGTCAGATACTGAATTGGTGACTAATCTTGAAACTGTGCTGATTGTATAGATCTTCTGTGTGTGAAGCATCCATGTTTTCACTGACATGGATGGAGACTGTCAGAGACACTGGACTGGTGGGCGGAGTCAAACAACCATGATGACCCCATGATTTTAAATATGCTACGATATGCAATATATGCGATGAAATGTATTGCGATTTATTCCCTTTTTTCAACAGTAAATTTTGTCCCCAAAGGAAAACTATGTCAACACCTTATTATCTAATAACACAAACTTTTCTGTCTGTTCGTCTGACCTCAGCCATTTTTTTGCAGCAAAATGTATCTAGTGGACTAAACAAGCATCTGATTACATTACTGTAGCAGGCTCAGTAAGATTTTAAACAAGTTGACCCCAGAAACGGGACATTGTTGTTGTCTTGATGTTAACAGCTTTAGAGATGGCAGTAATGTGCTGCTGAAGAATGAGAAATCAAGTCTATTATAAAAAATATATTTGTAAAATTATTAATGGAAATATCATGATGAGACGTTGCTACAAGCCAGATGTTTAAATATTTGTGCCGTTGCATCAGTTAAACACTGAGAGCTCCAGCAGAGCTCTGGGTGCGCTGAACCTGGTCAGCCACTGCGGCCCGTAATTAAGGACAGTGAATTTGATCATGTAGATTTATTAGAGGATAAGTTTGAGCTAACTCCTGAACTTCACCCTGCGACCCTGGTGAGCATCACATTCCTGACTTCAACCTCCAGGTCTGTTTGAATCTTGTAGAAAACAGCAGCACATGAAGAAACACTGGTGTTAATGTTCACACACCTCTGTGTGATTGGAACCACAACACTGAGACTAACATGTTAGTATGTGGTTGTTGCCCTGCTGCCTGATGTGCTGTTGAAACTCCAACCCTCTTTTTCTTCGTCCCAACTGACACTTCATCCTCATCCTCCCTTACAGTCGGCTCTCTGTCTGACTGACTGACCAAAATGACTTGTAACTGTCTGCTGTGACACCGGGCTGTGATGTTTCCTTCCAACCAGATCCTGACAATAAAGATTTTATTATTAAAAGAAGACAAGTCTGTTCGGAGAGTATTTTCTGATTTTATTTCTAGAAATTTGAGTTTAAAAAAGTCTCTGATTCCTGCAGGTTGTTCCAAACCCGAGGGGCCCAGACGGAAAACACAATCACCTTTAGATTGAAGCCTCGACTTTGGAACGTCCAGTATTTAATCTTATAATGGTATGAACTGATCTCCAAACAGACGACTTCTCCCAGGGTCTCAGAGCTTAATGAGCTTGTTAGGGCTCTGGCTTGTTCACAGTCATCGTTAGCAAAGGCCAGATGATGCTCATTTCAAAGCTTTATAAAGACTCTGACTCCTGAAAGCTTGTCCCAACAATCAGCAGCCATGGGCTCCTCTAAACAGCTGCCTAGCACTCTGAAAACTAAAAGACCTGATGAAGACTAGAAGAAGAAGAAGATAGATAGAAAGTGTTTTCAGGGAGCTGTTTCCTCAGTTGGTCATGTCAGTAAGAAATGGCAGTTAACAGGAACTGTGGAGGTCAAGCTGAAAACTCTCTGAGAGAGCTGCTCGTAGGATTGTTAGAAAGGCAAATCAAACCTCTGTTTGACTGCAAAAGACCTGCAGGAAGATTTCTCAGACTCTGGAGTGGTGGTGCACTGTTCTACTGTGCAGACACACCTGGACAAATATGAGCTTCATGGAAGAGTCATCAGAAGAAAACCTTTCCTGTGTCCTCATTCAGCCTCACAAGTTTGCAAAGGAACATGTGAACAAGCCTGATGCTTTTTGGAAACAAGTCCTGTGGACTGATGAAGGTAAAACAGAACTTTCTGGACACAATGAGCAAAGGTATGTTTGGAGAACAAACTGTTAAACACGGGGGTGGATGGATGATGCTTTGGGCTTGTGTTGCAGCCAGTGGCACGGGGAACATTTCACAGGTAGAGGGAAGAATGGATTCAGTTAAATTCCAGACATCACAGCATCTGTAAAAAAGCTGCAGATGAAGAGAGGATGGCTTCTACAACAGGACAATGATCCTAAACACACCTCCAGATCCACAATGGACGACCTCAAGAGGAGCCAGCTGAAGGTTTGGCCACGCCCCTCACAGTCCCCCGACCTAAACATCATTAAACATCTGTGGATAGAGCTCAACGAGCAGAGCATGAAGACGGCCCAAGAATCTCACAGAGCTAGAAGCCTTTTGCAGGAAGAATGGGTGAAAATTGCGCAAACTTTTGCTTCAGGCCCTTCTCCCTGTGATCGTCCTCATGCCAGTCCAGACCTGCTTCATTCCATCGTGCTGCAGCTTTTGTTCCAGTTTGTGCCTGAAGGCTCTTTTTCCCTCCTCAGTCTTAACCTTTAGTTTTCTTTGTCGTGCTTCATGCTTCCTCTCTGTCGCCCTCTCTGAAAGTTTATTTCTTCTGGTTTCGCAGGGCTTTCAGTTCCCTGGTAACACAAGGTTTATTGTCAGGGATGCACCGAATTTCTCTGCATTTTCGGACCGCCTACCTGTACCATGGACTTTGTTGTTTTTTATCTTAAAGTAACTCTTTGCCCCGTTCCTTAAAGAGCACCTGATTTTTTAACAGCTAGCTACACAGAGCCCTAACTCAGTGCAGCACTCCCTGATGTTTCCAGTGACAGTGTCAGACCATCAACATCCTACCGAGAACATCCCAGTCTGTTGACTCTGCACATCACTGCAGAGAATCCTTCACTTCCTGGGACCAGCATTCCACAGGTTTGGTGGTGACAGGAAATCTTTTAACACCCATCTTTAATTTCTCTGATATATTTTCTATTCTTAGTGTGAGTGCCCTCATGATTTATTTACTTTGCTTCTCTATTTATCTGAACTTATTCCTGTCATCATGCTGCTTCAACGTCTAAATTTCTCCCCTGAAGAAAGCTTACCTTATCTTATTTTGAAAGCCACATGTGCCCACATGTGTGTCTTTGCACTAACTTCACAGAGTCTGAGGCAGTGTGATGGACTGTACTTAATGTGGTGCTTCACATGCTGCAGCACAGAATGAAGTAACCCTCCTCCCTGTCAGCTCGCTCTGGACCGTCTCACTGCATTTACCTCGAGGTACGTTTCTCTTTACTGACTGAATTATTGAACATGTGGAGTTGTGTGAACATGAACTGATCAGACACTGATTATTAAGCACAAAGAGAAAAGTGTTGATACAAGATCTGCTGCTGCTCAGATGCAGTTACTTTGCTGCAGCACCTGTTTGCATTCAACAGTCGTAAATCACCGTTGTAGTTTATACATTTACTCAAGTGCTGTATGTAAATTGTACTTTGTTTAAGTCTTGAGTCCGTCCACAGAGGAATGTGTAGACGTGAGGCAGCAGGACCAGAAACCTGAAACCTTCTGCAGGACGTTCAGACCCACAGGAAAGAATTTACATCAACGTAAACATTGAATCTAAAACATATGTATGCATACACACACACACACACACACACACACATATTTCTTTAGGTCCTCTTTAGCAGACCTACCCTCACCACCACTTCAAACAGAATTAGTTGCGTAAAACACCCTTAGTCTTCTCCTTAAAGGGATAGTGCACCCAAAAATGTAAATTCAGCCATTATCTACTCACCCATATGCCGAGGGAGGCTCAGGTGAAGTTTTAGAGTCCTCACATCACTTGCAGAGATCCAAGGGGAGAGGAGGTAGCAACACAACTCCACCTAATGGAGGCTGACGGCGCCCCAGATTCAAACGTCCAAAAACTGCCTGTCTGTGCACCGCGCTCGCGTGTGTGCGCATGCGCGAGACCGTGAGACATGGGCACTGTGAGACATGGGCACTGTGAGACATGGGCACTGTGAGACATGGGCACCGAGCTTGCGCGAGACCAGCAAAAGCACGTGAACACACATGACGGCGGTGCTCATGTCTCACGGTCTCGCACAAGCACACACACGTGAGCGCGGTGCCCAGAGAGGCAGTCAGAGCTACAGGCTACAATGAGGCTAAAAACAGAGTTCAAATGAGGTTTTTCCAAACAACTTTTTATGTCGGGGCTTCAGGACACTTGGATCACTACGGACGAGCAGTATGGAGATAGTTTGTGGTTTCAATTATGTGTTTTTGGACGTTTGAATCTGGGGCGCCGTCAGCCTCCATTAGGTGGAGTTGTGTTGCTACCTCCTCTCCCCTTGGCTCTGTCGTAACTGCAACATGACCGAGTTTATGGAGATAAGAGAAAACTACTAACACACCCTGAGTGGAGTGTTCTGAGACTGACATGGATACGCTTTTGATTTGAATACATTTTTGTTGTAATTTCTTCCTACAATCGTTTTCTGTTTCCTGGTATTTGAGGATCAAATTTACTTTGTAGTTTGTTCTTTCTATGATTGTGTTCCTCCAGACGTTTAATCTTTTCCTCCTCTGACCACAATGGTTATCTTCTCTTCTTTTCTTCTGCCTTTTTTTTCCACTATCAGACTATCGGCCAACTTTGTGAGACGATAACAGGCGTCACGAGTGTAATGTTGTGTTTACACCAAACGCGATGTGAATTTTGCATTATTTGAACACTAAAATATTTTGTGTTGACTAGCTTCATATGTGCGAATAACTTGCGTCATACGCGTGTGAAATAGCTGAATCGATGAATGAACTTCCGCTGGTACATCCTCAGCATCATATATCCCTCGACGATCTCATATGGCTATCGTGGCGCGAATTGGACGCTGCAGTTTAGATTTTTCAACTCTTGGGATAAAGCATATGATTCACGCCACTTATTTCATGTATTCTATATCGTTTGCGTCATTTGCGTCACGTCCAGACGTTGACATCACACCAGCATGCCAAGTGCCTTCTTGTGCTGTAAATCCTACAGAGATTGTTACATCGACGTTAAGTCTCATTTTGTTTACTTTCTCGTTCATAACTTACAGGTTCTTTCTTCAGTCTGCTTTTTTAGCGCGTTCATGCACAACACAGCCATTAGTTATATATGTGTATTTTTTTTGTCCTCTCTTAATCTCAGCACAGCGACAGAATCCAGCAGAACTCACAACAAGCCAGTGACAGACATTGAAAGCCTTTTCCTGACGATGCTGGACATGGATCACACATTGATGGTGGTCTTGATGCTGCTCTGGAGCTCAGGTAGGACCTGGAATGTGGCAGCCTTCTTGTTCTCTACTATCTGCACATGAATGATGATTTGTCCTCTTCTCAAACTCAGTTCTTACAGTATTCTTACAAGCCTCTCCTTGATTTGCTGTGGCTGGGACTGTACCTCATTCACACATCTTCTATCTAGCAGCTTGATTGCAGTCTGTCCAGAGCTCTGTCCTATTCATTATTTTGCTGTCATGTGATGTTTATCGTCTAATTTTCTCACTCAGGTCTCTGTGCACAAGAAAGCCACAACCACAATGGTATGTATACAAGTGTATAAATATAATTATTTGGTCACGCAGTCCTTTTCCCCATGCCTGTTTAGTTGTTTTCGTGGAGGGAGAGTTTAGGCTAGTTACTTCAGCTGTACATTGCTGAATAGGAAGTCTTAAATGTAGGTCTTTTGAGGTGTGAGCTTTGTGAAAGTGTTTTAAGCCTTTGTGAAGTTGGATTCCTTTGGGGCTTGGACAATAACTTGTTGATGGTCACCAGACGGAAAAGGTTACAAAACCATTTCTAAAGAGTCTGGCCTTCACCAATCCACTGTCAAGCAGATAGGTGTTCATATGGAGGAAATTCAACAGCATTGTTATGCTCCCCAGGAGTGGTAGTCCAACGCAAAGCACTCGAAAAGCAAGGTTTGTAGTTGGCTCATTTGACGCAAAGGAGGAGCAGCTCTACTCCGAGCTCCCTCCAGATGTCTGACTCCTCCCCCTATCTCTAAGGCTGAGCCCAGACACCCTACAAAGGAAACTCATTTCAGCTGCTTGTATCCGCAATCTCATTCTTTTGGTCACTACCCAGAGCTCATGACCATAGGTGAGGGTTGGGACGGAGACGGACCAGTAAATTGAAAGCTTCGCCTTCTGGTTAGCTCCCTCTTCACAATTCCGTGTTTCCCAGTTAAGAGCAATCTTAGGACTTAAGACCGCAGTTAAGAACATCTTTGGTAAGAAGGGTCACTAAGATATGAGTGTTTCCCAGATGCCTTCTTAGGATCGCTCTTTAAGACGCTTTTAACAGGAGCTGACCACTACCGCGATGCTGAAACTAAATCAATCAAAGCTCTTAGCGCTAAGAGCGATCTGGGAAATGCAGTCAATGACAGTTCAGCACAGCGCCCACATCACTGCAGATGCTGCGACAAACCACCGATCCATCTCACACTCCATTCTACCAACACTCATGAACAAGGCCCAGAGATACTTGAACTCCTTCTCTTGAGGCAGTAACTCTCTCCCAACTCCAACTGTTTTCCATCAGAGAACCATGACCTCAGATTTGGAGGTGCTGACTCTCATCCTGACTGCATCACACTCAGCTACAATCCACCCTAGTGCCTGCTGGAGGTCACAGCGTGATGAAGCCAACAGAACCACAAAAAGTCCACAAGGCACATGTAGACTGGAAGGGCAGGAAATCCAACCCTCCATCCCAGGAACCTCATCCCAACTGTGAAGCATAGTGGTGGCAGTATCATGGCTTGGGGCTGCTTTGCTGCCTCTGGACCAGGGCGGCTAGCAATCATTGGCAGAACTATGAATTCTGGATTGTACCAACAAATTCTTCAGGACACTGTCAGTGTATCTGTTCGTAAACTGGAGCTCAACAAAAAGTGGGTCAAGACAATGACACAAAACACACAAGTCAGTCTACCTAAGAATGGTTAAAGCAGAAAAAAGTCCAGCCCTTGATCCAATAGAAATATTGTGGAAAGATCTGAAGAGAGCAGTACATGCAACCAAGCCCACCAGAGTCGTTGAGTTGAAGCAGTTTTGTAGGAAGTAATAGGCCAAAAGTCGATGTGTGGGACTGATAGGACTGACAGTAAGAGAAACACTTGGTAGAAGCTGCTGCTGCTTAAGAGGGTCATACAAGGTACTGAAAGCAAAGGTTCACATACTGGGTCCTCGAACATTTGAGATCACATTTATGCAGCAGTACAGACAAATCTACAGGGTTCACAAATGTTCTAGCAGCATTCAACATGTTTGTTGTTTCATAATAAAAGTCTTTTTTTTTCTTTCTAATGACTCTCCTGTTTCTGTTCAGAACTTGTCAGGTTGGTGGGAGGATCCAGTCGTTGTACTGGAGCACTGGAGATGAAACATAGGGATGACTGGAGGCCAGTGTACGGCCATCATTGGAGCCTTAGGGATGCAGCTGTATTCTGCAAAGAGCTGGATTGTGGCTCTGCTGTTTCCCTACGACAGAGAGAGGAGTCCTCAGCCAGACCTGTGTGGATGATGACACCTGGCTGTCTTCACTCTAGATATGCTCTGAGGGGCTGTGCAATGTCATATTCCACTTCCTATATCTTGGAGGTCACCTGTTCAGGTAAGTCATGGTCCTCCCGATTAGCCACTCCAACTAGATAACAATGTTTTGATGCATTGGATGTGCTGAATGTGCATATTAAGGCAGTACAGGAGGAGGTGCACATTAATAATCCTCCAGGACTGTAACATGCTCATGTTTAACCCAAACAATGTGTCATGTGACTGCAGTTGCTTCACATCCAGGTCGGAACACCTTCTCACCACAAACCAACCGCACCAGAGTTCATTTGGAACCAGACTGAGACCACCTCTTCAAGAAGGTCTCGGTCCGGTTGTTTTGCTGTGTTCACACCTGCACAATGAACCGCACTGAGGGGGCAAATGAACATGAGTTCAAATGAAATGAACCAAACAGGGCAGGTGTGACAGCAAACTCAGCGTAAACTGAGAACTCTCACTCTTTCTCTCCAGACTCTGTCAGGCTGGTGAATGGGAACAGTCTGTGTTCAGGCAGACTGGAGGTGAAGTCTAACCAGTCTAACCAGTCTAACCAGTCTAACCAGAGGTGGTCCTCAGTGTGTGAAGCTGACTTTGACCAGCAGGATGCAGAGGTGGTCTGCAGGGAGCTTGGCTGTGGGGCTCCTTCAGTCCTCCAGGGGGCGCTCTATGGAGAAGTGGAGGCTCCAATGTGGACCAAAGAGTTCCAGTGTGGAGGCCATGAGTCTGCTCTCCTGGACTGTAGAAGCTCAGGCTCAGATAGAAACACCTGCTCACCTGGCAAAGCTGTTGGACTCACCTGCTCAGGTAGAAGAGGAGCTGCAGCTTTGATTTGGTTCATTTCTCTTACACTCACTTTGTTCTTTTACTGACGACTCTCTGGTTTCTGTTCAGAACCTGTCAGGTTGGTGGGAGGATCCAGTCGCTGTGCAGGAACACTGGAGATGAAACAGGGGGAGTGGAGACCAGTGGACAATTTTAAATATATCTGGAGCCAGAAGAAAGCAAATGTATTTTGCAGAGAGGTGGACTGTGGCTCAGCTGTTTCTGTCAAATGGATAAAGGAGTCCTCAAGTAGACCTGTATGGGCAGCGACATCTGACTGTGTTCAATCTGGATCAGCTGTGAGGGACTGTGTAAGATCAGATTCCTCTCTTTACATCCTGGAGGTCACCTGCTCAGGTAAGTCCATCAGTCAATACGTTTACATGCACAGTTTAATTCCACTTTTAATCGGAATGAAAGGCCATTCCGATTAAAAGTGGTCATGTAAACGGTCATTCCGATTGAAAATTAAATCCGATTAAAGGGGGTGGTTTATTCCGTTTGTCATTCCGAATGTAAGAATTTTGTGTGCATGTATACACTCATTCCTCTTTAAATTCATTCCGGTCTTTCTGCGCATGCTCGTTTCCTTGCCCTTCTGCCGCGATGACGTATATAGCGCGCATAGCAACAGGCTGAGATAGAGCAGTCGGACTTGTAGCACTCACCGGTTTCCATTCGCCACAGCACGGTCTTCTACCTCCCTTCTCCTCCTCAACAGATGAAGCATTAGCAGAACAAGGTTGTTGTCATACTGCTGCTTCAAGAATATAAGCAAAACAAGCCCGAAAAAGGCACTAAGAACGGCATCGTCAAGCATCTTGTTATCCGGAGTGAGGACTACAGTGTTTTCTTCCGGTAAACGTAAACACGTAACATCCGCCCCGCCCCCTATCCAATCAGAAACCTTCCCTGCCCCAAACCTTGCGCCTTCATTATGTCAGAACGCTCTCGATGGATGCCCTGTAGAATGCCACCAGCAGATTCCTCTCCATGTTGTTCCTAACTCACAGTCTCTTGGCTGTTTACAGTCAGCTCTGTGCGTTGTACACAAACCAATTGACCTATGGCTAAGCCACGCCCCCTCCACTCACTCGGACAAAATATCAACATTCAGTGACCGGCGCTATGGCAGGTGTCACAGTACACGGCATGATGATTTTTGGAGACATAGGCTAACGATCAAATTTTGGTGCATCATACTGCCACTGAAGTTAAGGTTTTTGACTCAGAATATGAGAAAAGGATAACGGCCTTTTTACCATCTTTACCAAGAGTGTCTCTCCGTTAGTTTGGTGCTACAGTATTTACACTGAATCATTCAGCATAACGTTTGCCAACCTTTGTTATCTCTGCCATTACAGATAAGTTAATGAAGCTAAGCTCCAGAAGTTAACGTTAGCTTAACTAGAGCCCTTTGGACAACAGCT